ATATATATATATATATAGGATTTTTCGCCTGTTGTGGTTACTCCTGGAGAGGAAAAAACGAAAAGAGAAGAAAAAGGAGACAATGAGGGTGCTGTTTGCATTTATTTTGACGTTTCAATGATGATGAAATACATTCCGAAGATTACAAGATACTTTCCAATATAAAATTTCATTGGCACGATGTATTGTTTGTCTTCTCAAATGGTATATTTCATTGTGTTGAAGGAGTGAAAAATTGCTCACCATACTGATGAATAATAACAATGACTTACGTAAATAACACAGTTTTGAAGGCGATCCAAATCACACTCGTCTGGTCCATGCATGCATTGACAATGAAGCGTCCTGTCTGGATACAGTTCACAGTTTCCTTTCCCAAAAGGTACCACCTAAATTTGTTAGATCTAACTTGATCATTAATCAGTGACTAGTGGAGCAGCCGAAATTTTGAATATGATGAGTTGGTTGATATTTTTGAAATGTGGAACCGAGGCCAGAAGTGAATTTTTTTAAACTTCAAATTTAGGCATCACTGCTCTTTATCAGTTTGTTCAGCTCTTGCTTCAGCTGTAAAGAAACAAAACCATGCAACATTAGTGCTTGTTAGAGATGGGAGATATTTTTCTCCAATTATTTCTCAACCTTACCATCCGCTAGACACTACATCCTCTATTGATGGTGATTTGAAAAAATTTTGATTGAATAAAAACTTTCAAATAAGTGAAGTATCTGGATGGAATAATAACGAACTTGAATGTTCATAACACCAGGACGTTGCACATAAAAAGGCCATAACTGCTCACGAAACAATTTCGTACAATATTTGCATTTTGCCTCGGTAAATACGGTGACATTAACCACTTGTGCACTGATCATTGTGCATAATGATAGTGTGAACAACAGATCGATCAGATGTGTCATCGTTCTTTTACCTGATAAATTATACTCACAATTAGAATTTATCGCTATTATTATTATTATTATCGTTGTTTCTGTAGCGGTATGGTTGGTACATCAATGATAATGAAGATTAAAGCAGCAAGTAGAGTCTACAAGATTACATGACATATCGATAAGATCTGAACAAATTCATCGCATTATATACACATTTAATTCCAAATTTACTTTAAAGTACACCGAACGTACGAATTGTTGAGATATAAATTATTGACCTTCAAATTTCACACTTTCTAATTTAGCCACCGCTTGGTACTGTACTCTTCAATATGGTGACACACGATCGAAGTAAAGGAAGAAGAGTCAAAAGATCTTTTGAGAGCATTTAAAAGCTACAGACGTCGACAATGAGTTGATTAGGAGCATCGAACCTTTCGTGCTCTGATGGATTATTTTATTTTCAAAATTCTTTCCAATAACGTCAACTGAAATTTGTTGGAGAGAAGAAAAAGAAGAATTTCTCTCATCAATGAAAAGAAGAACATAGATAATTCATGATACATTGCAATAAATTATACATATGCGAAAGTGATAAAACATTTTATCACTTTCTGCTCAACACAAAGTGATACCCTCAAATCAGAGAAACATTTTCAGCATGTTTAGATGAGCAAACTTTTGAATGTGCTTCAGTTTGAGAATTCGATAACTGGAAATCAATTAGATGATCATCTCAATTTTTTGTTTGATCAGAGAGATAAACGTTTGAATCCGCTCGAAAGGCAATCATCCACTATGGATGTTCTTTCTTACCTGCAGGAACATTAACGGCAATTATCTGTTCATCGCTAAATTGTTGGCATAACGAATCATTCACATAAATTGCAAATAAGATTAACAATGAAATAAATCACTGTTGCTATACATGACTGCAGTAATTGGATCAAAAATAATTGCAATAGCGAGAATGACATTTATATAGTGACAGGAATGCCACGAATTAACAAAAATAATGAATGTAAATAAAAAATTAACAAGGAATTTATCATGAGACGCATCATGACTATGATGACGATGATGATGTAATTTACACCACTGAAAACATTTATATTCACTGAAAATGGAAATACTGTGAGAATGACTCAAAAAGTGTTGTATTTCTGCGATTCTTTTCACAAATAAATAAAAAATTGAAACAAGATTCGTTAGTGCCCAAGGCGATTTGATTCAAGCAACAAAAAATTCCATTTCAATAATACACTGGCTTTAGTTGTTGAGCGTTCGTAAATATTTATTGCTATAAGCTATGAAAGTTTATACTTTCGATGGCCACATTCCATAACTTCATACCGTTCCATTCGTAAACCAACAGAAATATATCATTTCTCTCAATTGATGCAACGAATCAGTGAAGGTGTTACATTACCTACGATTGTGAGATGTATTTGATGATGACAAGATGTAAACGAATAATAACCAAAACCATTAATAATAATGAAATTGTAAATTTCATTAACAACAAAACTGTTGTACATTTCAACAAAAATCGCTGGCACGTATCTGCATCAAAAACAATTTGCTACGATTCATCTTATGAGCAATATACTTTCAATTTGCGGCGAAACACTTTTAATATTCACTTAACCAAAAGCCAACTGTTTGCATAGACACAATATTGCATTTATGTTATTGTTCGCGTTTATTGCGAATTATCTTTTCGCAACGTTCATTTTCAGTCACCCGAATTTTTATTCAATCCAAAGGCAAACGTACAACGGTTTGCAACTCGAAGGTCGCTCCGAGTTTCACCGTGTTTAGATGATGATCATCAAACAGTTGAAAAATTCCATGCAACATTTATAAGTCAAAGATAGAATATAAGCAAAAACAGAACGTGAAGTACTGGAAGGTTGTGATTGCGAAGAGATGAAAAAGCGGTTTGGGACGAATGAAGCGTAGCGAAAGAAGGAAGTGTTCGCCAGCCTCTTTTATAGACATGCAAAATGCGGTTCGATCAACTTCAGAATGATGGTTGTTGCATTGAATACATGAAAAAAAGGAGAAGTACTTCAGTTGGGTTACGACTTCTAGCTTGCATACAATATTTGTTTGCATAGACACAATGTGAACGAGCAAAGTGTAAGATCTCTAGCAATGAGCAACAGCTCTTCATAAAAGTTTGAAGTAGATTCGTCTATTATTAATACTGTTGAGTGAAACACTTCAGAGCACTACTATGCAGCAGCGTTATTATTTTTAAACTAATCCATCGAATTACACCATATTCGAATTAATTCAGCAAGGAATTCATGCTGAGACGTAGACATCGAACATCAGCTGTCACTATAACACACGTCGTGATTATTAATTTCGACAACAGATGCGTAACAATTCATCAAAAAATTTTAAAATATTTCATAAACTGATACCAAAAAACACTCCGTCATACTGAAATCGTTCAACTTAGCGTGAGTTTTTTTTAAGATCACGATAGAATAATAATTTACATCGTGTGCCGTTCAAGACTGATCACTTTTATAATTGGTGGAAATGAGAGGGTGTTGCTTAATGATGATTGAGAGATATAAAATGTGAAGTTACTGAGACGAGTGAAAAAATTGATCAGTGTGACTATGGAGATAACCTTGAATACCCACAAATTATCATTAAATCCGGTTCAGTGATAGACAGTCTGATATCATTTATCGGCTTTAACGCAGTCATCGATCCATTGGATTCCTTATTACAGAATTAGTGTTCACTCTCTGTAAATTCTTATGACTTGATCAAACGCAATGCTAAAATGTTATTGCTCGAACAAATTCGATCAGAATTATTGTTGAATGGTCGTACGGAAGCAAGTTCATAATAATTGCATTTAAGATCAACTCTGATGTATGCAATGCATACACATTATATTGTTTATTCAGTTCACTTGCAATGTTCAATTCTCTGCAGCTGCAACGTATGAATCTTTGAAAATGCGAGTGTTAGAAGGGGATCATCAATGATCACTTGAATTTACTCCTGAGAGGTTTGTTTTAGTCGCTGTTCCACCACCAACGCGGATAATTTCGGTCGAAAAATGAACGAATAAAAAGGGCACAAATAAAAAAGTGGAACCAGTTGAATGAAAACAAAAAAGTGATAGAATGATGCGCATTTATTAATGAATCTGACACATGCACAAAAAATACAAATGTAGTTGACAAAATACTCGTTTCCACATTAATCGGCACAATTTATGAATTCAGATCATGTCAACGAAATCAAATTTTTGCGTTCTTTAAACTCAGCAGTACGAGTTCAATTTCTTGCAATTCATTTTACCTAACAGAAGACAAATTTCAGAACGAGCGATTGCCTTGTTTTTGAAGATGGCAGCTATCTCCTTTCACTCAAATGAACTCAGTTCTCATTTTCAGCAAACACAATTCACCCAAAGTAAACATATCTTTGAGTGAATTAATTGTCTTAACACATCGTTGATCTATAGCTTGTACTTCGTAAAAGGCACATAATCCAGTTGATGCTTCCGAGTGAATGGCTTTATTCTTTATTGCTTCAACGTATAATTACACAATAAGCATAAGTATTGACATTACTATCCATTCAAATCAACGTTACTATCGAGTTGTTCTTGACAGTCGTATTGAGAAATTCGCTTTAATTTTTGATCAGATGGTATATTTACAAACATCGTGATATTCGTCATTTGAATTGAACGATTCAAAAAATGCTAAGGTGCTTATATCAATGCAATAAATTGGTTTCTTTTCAACGAATCCACAATTCGATTGAAACGAATAGTGAAAAGAATAATGGAAACATTCTTGAACGAGATCGATAAATCTGTAAGGCTTTCAAAATTGTAAGTATTGAAATACAGAACGAACTTTTGTAAAAACGCTATGCGAAGAATTGTATCGAAAAAAATCTTCTGACTGTCATATTTATGCGATTGAAAAGTGAAAATGAATGGGCGTTATTGCTATAAATGTGATATTTGAATAATCTGCTGTCCGATAGCACGAAACATTTGTGCTTGCTTCACGACAGGTGTAATTGTTTCCCCGCAAAATTGCTTTGTGCAGTATCATAATTGTTCCATCAATTCTGAATGCAATCATGTTCAGTGAACAAATGATAAGAAATTCGTTTCTGTTAGATTCTCATACGAAACATGAAAAGATTTTAACAGTGCTTCCATACATCTCAATGCTTTTTGTATTATCTTTTCGCACTGTATTCAGTGATGCGTTCTTGAATCGTCAACGAAATCAGAATGTTCTCAAAACGCTCGAACCACGCAAATTGTACGCGTATAGCAGGGTAATGCAAAAAACGGCCATCACAGATTTTTCACTTTACGGCAGAAAAGATTCTTTTTTTTCTTGGAAAACAGCTCAAACTTCTCAGTGTATACAATGTCGTCATATCAACCATTACACCTATTGTTCGATTTTCGGTGACTTTTTTGCTCGATTTTTGAAGCATTAGTAAACATAAACAATAAATCATCTCCTCAAAAGAACACTCTATACGAAATTTTACGATAACTGAATCACAAATCCAGCTAGACAAGCTGCTCGAACCCTTCAGTGTGTTAATGAGCGACAATTGGCGCGGAACGTTCCCCGTTATTCTTTTTTTGTTCTTCATGCATTACCGAATCGTTAATTGATTTTGACAGTTAAAGTAATAAGAAGTAATTGCATTAATTAAAGTAATGAGCGATCGAACACACAACGAAGAAACATGTAAAGTGGGTCGACTCGGAAAAATTTAAGTGATCATTAGGTATCATACGGTTCATTAGGTATCAAATTCTGCAAATAATTTTTCAAAATTTACTTCCATTGAGTACTGCAGTTAGAAGAATGAAATCGATGGATAATAATGAGAAATATGAAGCAAAAGGTCTCAACGACACAATAAAAATCTCAGAAAATGACAAGCAAATCTCAGCGCCATTTGCGCTCACCGCTACACACAAAACTGCAATGTTTCTAGCCAAGATTTCACATTGAATGCTTTCTGACCAACATGAATCACGTTCTGCGAGTACAGTTGATATCACACTTTGGAATAAACAAGCAGCAGTGTTTAATTAGCAATGTTCTTTTATCGAAACGATTTCATGAAGTCAGCAAAAGACTGTGTTTCATCTTCGTTTCATTCACAACAACGAATAATTCAAGATCAAAATAAACAGCTGATGGCACTAACAATAAGAGTAAATCTGACAAGAGAGTTGCAAGCAAATAATTCGATTACATGATAGCACTGAAATCGTTGTGTATATCAGGCAAAATACGACAGATCATCGTACAATTAGCATAAATTGATGTTCGGATTGCATGAAGTGAATTTGGGTTTGAAGAAATCTGATATAAACGACACGAATAAAGTGCGCGAACAAGATGAAAGTGATAATTCAATGAATGAGACAACGAAGTGGCAATAAAATGAATGATTGAAGATAACCTCTGCTCGTTGTTAATAAGAGACTAGAAAAAGAAAAAAAAGGTGGACGAATAACAATGAAATAAATACATCATTTAATTGAAGATAACAATTCGATTCACATTTTGACATGATTTCCAGAGAAATTGAATTCACGTCGTTGTTCGTCAAAAATGCAGCACCCAGTCATCTTTGGGTGATCCAGAAACGAAAAGTTCACTCGATATTCCAGAAGAATGAATCTTAAATAAAAACTACTCATCGATCGAAATTTATTCACTTTTAAAGCAACCTAATGATGTCAAATGTTGAAAATTCAAGTCTTCAAACAAGTTCCGCCTTCAAAAAAAGAAACCTTTTTGCATTTGGCATTCTATAGCAATTCACGTATCTTTAATGATTGAGTTTCATTAGCATTGAATGCCTATACTGATGCATTCGGTTGAAGTGAAACTTGTTCACAAGCGATTTTCTTATCAATTTCATAAACTCAATTGCAAAATCAAATACCCAATCAAGGTGAACGATCGAAACAAGGGACTAGAAAAACGGAAAAGTAATTAATTCAATGCGAACTTTCAATGAAATGAACCAGCAACAATTCAATTAAAACAATCAACACAGCAATTTTTTTGAACGCACCTCATCTGCACTTTGATTCATTGCGGAGTCCTTCCTCGATTCACCATTAGTTTTTGTCATTTCAATGGTTCTTTCACTTTCCGAACTCTTTAAAAATGACAACCCGATGAATAATTGGTTTGTTGACTGCATCAATATTTTCAGTGTAAAATTTTTATGGAATTCAAAACGTTCGAGTTTCGCAGACGATTTTTTGAAACATTCATCAAGAAAATACGGAATTCGAAAGAAGAAACTTCCAGCTGTAATCATTTTAACCACATCATGCAATAAGAACAATGCTGTAATACAATTTAAAACCGTCTGCATACTTCAGAACCGTTACCGGTTCGCGTTCAGTCATTTTCACTTTAGATCACTCAAAAGGAAAAGAATCAACCCATATTTGAGGAGAACAATCACGAACCACTTCCTCAGTCGCCGCTTCTCGAGTACCATTCACCGTTTTTTGTGCATTCTTTAATTTTGGATTCGACTCCGATATATCTTCCTAAACACGAGTTAACTGGTTCATCGCATCATGTAATTATTGGAATACTTTTGTAAACTGGTAAAAGAGGGATAAAATCAAGTTTTTCCAAAATAAAATTGGTAGAAATTCTGATTATCATCAGTATGATTATGAAAAAACAACTCAACCGTATTTTATGAGGGAATGAAGATTTTTTCCTGAGCTTTCAGGTCTTTCTGAATTGCAAACAAAACTACTGTCTCTTGCAAACGACAAGTTATTGGAATTCAATTTATTCGTTTTATCTGATACTTGTTCGAGAAGCAGTGCGCATGTTTTTATGTTGAATGGTCACATTCGTTAGAAATTATTTGTAACAATTTATTCCAAACGAATCCCAATGTCTGATCATGATTGTAGGTAACTTATTCATTGAATATCACGAATGTCGCCAAGTTGATCTTTATTTTTGCAAGTGAACTCATAACATTGTTTCGAAAAGTGAAGTTTCAGAAATTTCGATTTTTCTCGATGAAATGCTTGGCAAAAGTGAATTGTTATTCAGTAGAAAGGAAATAACGATAATAAACCTTGGGCACGCACGGAATTGTCATTCGAGGAAGAGGAACAGGTCTTTGTTGAACGTCGGAGCGTTGCGCATTCGGTTTAACGTTCTAAAAGAAACTTCTTAGCTTCATTTCATTCACAGTGCATCATACATTCAAAAATGTTGTGTATAACATAGTCTGTGCTGTAAGGTTTCCTCATTTATTAGACGCATGATAGTAATAGCTGAACCAAAACAGTAAAGTAGTGTTGTTGAGAAATTATCAGCTGTGCAATTAGAAGTATTACGATGATGTGCAACGTTTCGGCGTTATGCTTTCCATCTTCAGAAATATCTTTGTAAATCACCTCAGAAAGAAAGACGTTCTTCAGAATGAGAAAACGTCGTAACGTTGGACATCATCGTAATATTTCTAGTTGCGCAGGTAATAATTTGTCAACAACACTAATTTAATGTGTATTTTACAATCGATTCGATTTTTTTCTGATAAATTCTTTGCAGTTCAAAGAAACTTCCAGTTAGTCAATTGATGTTCTCTGTTTGACTAACTGGAAGAAAATCGACTGACTAACTGGAACTTAGTCAATTGATGACTTTATAGTTTAAGACTTTGTTTTCCGAATGAAATTCCAATCTGAAATGATGAGAAAAAGAAACTGATAGCTTTTCTGGGGGTTTTTTGAATGAAAATGCATAATCAAAAGAATTTCATGCTTCCCACATTTAGAGCTGCTTGAGATCATAGTGGATTCACAATTTATCGAATTTATTCGAAGACCCGTCGTGAATTTTGAAACAGCACCAGAAACGTTGCGAGCCTCAGGCTGAGGAGCGCAATGGCTGATGCAAAATACAAGTACGAGACTTTTCAATGCAAAATCAGTTATTTCAGTTTCTTGTTCATACGATAACGGATTGGTAATCAAATGATGCCAGGATATTTTTTAAGGCTGTGCGTTTTGCAGTTGTTTACGAGTCATGCTCAAGCATTGACAAGTAAATGCAAGAAGCACAGGCTTAGGAATCATTCTACAAGCGTCAATGCGACGTTAACGATTAGTTTTTGTAGGCACTCTTCTAGTTTAACTGCCGTAGTGCTAAAAGTGAGCAAAATTTTTGCAAGTCCGAAAGAGAAGGCTCTCTCATGCCATTCTTCTCCCAGCTTCCATTACGAACTTGGGATGTATCGCTCGTCATATCCATCTAACAATTAAAATTATTTAATGAAGAGGATGGGAGAGGCAGAAAAAGTGGAGAAATGTGGAAAAAAATGGGGTCTATTGAGGTGAAATAAGCCATTGTAGGTAGACACTGGGGTATTTGGCTGACACATTTCTGCGAGGTGCTCAATTATCCGCAAAGGAGGCATTCCAGCTATCATATTACTGATATATGGAACGGTGTACTTATTCCGATATACAGCTTGACTTGAACAGAAAGGACAGAAGCATCTTGCTATTAGCCGCTTTAGTCGATTCTTATTATCATTGTCAACCTTTGTAGAGAAGTTCATTCGAAAAAGGAATTTGGAGGAGAAGATTGTTTATTTAACTTGTGGAAGCAGATAGCAGAAATATACCCCATATCATGTGGGGCTAGAACAGCACAACTTAAACTCAATGGTCCTCTTTAGGGCCAACAAAATCATAAACAAAACTTAGTGTCATATATGACACTAACAAGTTGTAAGTTTGGTTTATGATTTGGTTAGTTTGGTTAGTGCTATCGAGGGCCATTGTCAAACGCCTTAAATATGCGTAGATAATTAATGCATTCATCATAGGAAATACTGCACCTGAGTAGACGCATAATGAAAATTCAATACCGTACACTTGAGAGAGGGGATGAGATAAACTGCAACAAAAGAGAGATGCATTGCAATCAATGGACGCAGACAGCTGTCTACGAATGAGAAGTCTTAGACATGGAAAAATTTTGCTCACATTGAGCAAAATTTGAACAACTGAAAAAATTTTCGAACAGTTGAAGAAGCACCTGGTTGTTTGATGATGAAGATGATGGTTGTTGCTTGGTCATCTGTGACTGAATGAAACGTGCCCTTGGCCTAGGCTTTACCGGTGGTACTGCTTTATTTTCCACCATTTTATCTTCACTTACAGAAATTGACAATGACGACTTAGCAGCACTATTGTTCGAAGAAGTAGTTTGATGATTGCTTGAAGTCGTTGAAGGTGATACAATAGACTTATTGGTATCAACAGCAGGATTAATTGAATTGAAATTCAGATTAGATGCATGAGAAGTGCACACACTGGTAGTATTCTCAGCAGCAGTGCTTGATTTAGGTGATTTTCTTGTTTCTAGCTTCTTTTTTGCAACCGTTGATGAATCTGCTAACCTAGAATCATTACGAGATGTTTTTTGTGGTGCACGTTGACCCTTCAACTGCTGCTTCTCTGACATCTTCCCACTGGCAATCGTGCCGACTGCAGCCAATGATTCACTTCCTTCTGTTGTCTTCTTTGCCTGCACATCAGCATCATTACGTTCTCTGGATTTTTGCTTTGCATGAAGCGTCTTCACTGAATTGTCATGTTCGACTGGCGAAGAGGATGACGCTGACGATGATGGTATCACTCGTCCATCCGAACTGTCTTCAATGTACATTGATTGCGTTTGCCTCATACGATCCATCTTGCTGATTCCCTCTCGAATCGAATCGTTCGTCTGATTTTGTCGTTGTTTCACTGTCGGTGTCGATGAAGTTGAAAGCGTTCCAGAGACTCGCTGTTGATTTGCTGGTTTATGTGACCGATCAATCAACCGTTTACCCGGTCGACTCATTTCCTGTTCATTTTTAGCATTCACCAGTGAAGATGTGTTTCGAATGTGTGCAATACCATCATTATTCATTTCAGCTTCACTACTTATTTTGCTTTTCTGCGTTCGATTCGCATCAGAATCACTGTTTGACGGAGATTCAACCGGACTCAAATTGCTTTCCGTGGTGATGCTGTCAGAATTTAATGCAATTCGAGAATCTAGTTGCGTTGGATTGATCAGAGTCGGCTTTTTGCTTCTTGATGGTACTTTTGGGAGATGTTGTGGCTGGTGTTGTTTTGCATCGCGCATCTTCTTCTCAGCGATAATATCTGCAAGTGATCGCCCATCACACCCGCCGAACATATTAACACCAATATGCTGCACTTTGGATAATGGTGATGGTGCTGGAGTATGCTCTTCTTCAGTTGTTCCATCATCATTCTTAGATTCAGCATCTCTATGATCCCCTTCATTGCCACCATCCTCAGCCAAAGTCTCTTTCGCTAAAGTTGGCTTCGGGAAACCCCTTACATGTACTCCAAATATCAGCTTCGTCCCACTATCATTTAGTTTCTTCGTCAACTCTTTCACAGAAAGTTTCTCATTACCATTCCCAGTGAATAAATCATGATTAGGATGATCAATTAATTGATCATCACATCCATGACTATTCAACATTTCATCCGTACCATCTGATAACTGCTTTGATAACGACACGGATGAAACGGCTCGAGATGATTCTTTATTAAGTACATCATCAAGCGCACCGATTGCACTTCTCACCTCACATGATGGAGTCCTCGGTGAAGGCGAAGGATTTGAGACAGATCTTCGAACTTCTGGCGTACTTGCCATTTGTCGTGGAGGACGCATTACCACAATTTCGCCATTTCCAGCAATTTCTGCCTTTGGCCTACCTGCTTTCATTGGTCTTTCTTGTTGTGAAATACTTCTGATTACTGTATCTGGAGGCGACTTCCGATCATCCATACTACCAGGCGATGAAACTGATCTACTTTCGATTGCATTGTTCCTTTTCTCCTTAATTTTACTTTCTGAAACATTTTCTTTTTGCAACGTTTTTTCCAGCTTACTCCGACTGTTTGAGTCAAGTCGTTTGTTACGCCGTGGTGGAACCATCGGCGGTTCCTGTGGCTGATCCGATGGTGCTTCACGGTCGGGTGAGAATTTTCTGTCTTGAAGTGTTCGGGATGTATCTTGACGAAGGTCAGTTGAATCTTCCGATGGCATCGACGTGTGACTGTCGGTGCTTAATCGAATACTTTCTTCGTCTTTAGTGTTGCTCATCCCTTGTTCCATACCACCTGATCGACGGTCACAAAGATTGGCTGTTCCGGATTGTTTTGATCGATCATATTTTCCAGATTCAGATTCAGTGTCTCTCGCTGAATGTGAGTTGTGCTTTTTGTCCAACGATTCATCGATTCTCTTATCCTTTTCATCCAACAAAACTGGTAGCTTAGGCTCCTTTTCTTGAGCAGTCTTCTCGCTAACTAACTTCCTACCGTTGTCGTGATCAACAACAGTTCGTGTCTGATGCGATGGAAGTTCGATTGGAAGCAATTCTCTGAGTGGACCGATTTCGTGATGTTTGCTCGCATCGATGGCTGTTGATCGCTGCGATGGTGAGTTGACAGTATCACTGTTGTTCCAGAAGGCTTCGTTTGGGGGAGAAGATTGCTTAGTGGTGGACAATTCAGTTGATTCTGTTGTTTCGATATTACTGTCAATCACATGGAACATCTTACAAATAGTAGGGTCGTTTACTGCTTTGGGAGCGACGAAATTGCAAGCATTCGAACGAGTATCCTCGATATGAACCAAATGCCTAGAAACTGGGCACATAATAATTTTGCAACAGGTTTAAGGAGACATAAATAAAGTCGATTACTGTGATGAAGAAGTCAGCGAAATTTTCAAAGTGAGTTTGTCTTTATTTGCTCGCAGTCAATTCAGTTCGATTAATACAACAAAATAGATACAGCACTATTCCGAAGCAATGAGGATTCATAGATCCGTCTAGAAGAAAGAACCCACCGAAAATCTTTGGGAGATGAAAGGAACACAGGATCTTTTTTCAATCCTTTGCGTAATCTTTCTTGCGGCTTTCGCAGTTTCAATAACTGGCATGCAGGCTCTAGAAATTTCGGAAAAAGTTTATGAGTTCATAAATAATACGGTTCCTTGTGCAAAACATTGTTTTAGACTTCACGGTAATTTATGATCCCAATTGATTGAGCGAAAAAAAATTGTTTCAGGTTGAAAATGAACAGCGAAAGTGTTGTTGGGAAGTCCTACGGTACTTTTTAGAGCGGATCTATTCAGATTTGACTGAATCGAAATTTTATTCCACAATAAAGTGCAAATAACCATCGAGATTCACGCTGAAAGTCATTTCTTGCGTGTTCCCTTTGACGTTACCGACTGGCATTCGAACACGAGTGCACTTCTCATCCTTTAAAAGTACTCATTTATCCGCTTAAACAATAATGACGCAACAAGAATAATGCATATAGCAGTAGAACAAATTTCAAGACAATAGATTTCACATGAAATTCAGTCTTAACCAACCGCTGAACTCAGTTGTATCCGAGGACTTCCATCGTTTAGATCAACATAATCGAGACCTACATGAGCAACATGCCTGCAGAAACCAATTCAGAATAGTACTTGAAAACTGTCTGTTCAATTTTCTCATTTAATCGGGAACATCTTATATGAACGCAAAGTTTATTCATTGATTCCGGCAACTTGCAAAATCTGTTAATACCTTTCGGTATTAGTTCTGGCTGTTCTTCGCTGATATAGTTACAGTCTAATGCAGAAGACTGAAATGAAGAAGAAATCAATCGTCAGTGTCAATGTCAACATTCGTGCTTTCTCATTTACACTGGACAGAAATTTTACAGTTCTGAGAATACGAAATCAATGTTGCACAATCGAACACGAACCTAAAATCACTTGGCTCGCCAATACTGTCACGTCTGATTTTTCCCCAGGTTGGCCATGGTGGCTCCAGTGCTGTTTTCTTCATTCTTTGCACCAATATCACCTTAATAGTAATTCAACTCCCTAACAACTGTTTTCATATGCTTACATATGAACATGCATTCATTCCTATGAGCGTAATATTTAATCGTTCATTTACACATTACATATGATGATAGCAAATGACAAGATCGATTACTGATTTACTCGCATGTGATCACATGTAAAATTGAACAAATTTAATTTTCTGGTGCCAGTGAAACCTCAATAATTGATTGATTATTTTAAGAGTTTTATTCATGATGACACCGGGAATATGAATGTGAGAATCGTATTTCAGTGAAACACATGCTTGCTTTCAATTCGCACCTAATGGTAGATTTCAACAGTCGTTATGAATAATCCTCGTTAATAACATAAAGCAATGATCGTTTTCTGAATGTCATCATTTGAAATCAATTTTCTTCAGTTCGAAGACTTTTTGATCTCTAAATTTACGACTGTTATGGAGAATCACTACAAAAGAGTTCGATACAGGATACGTGAATACGCCTGCTGGGAAGATGAACGATTTTGCACAGAAAAATTACTGATGGTATGAAGTGTTATCACTCAAACTTTGACAATACTTCACAGTCACTGAAGACAAAATTGAAACAACGACACAGTGGCGGATTTTTTAAGTTAACTTTTGTTTCAGTCAAGCACAATTTTATGTTTTGATTAGCATTGTAACTTTTGAATGTTGCAAATTCGTTTTTGAATGTTCCTGTAAATATGTATAAGTAAATTGCACAAATTGCTTAGAATAAAGACATCGTCCATTGCACAGCAAATTATATGTATATTCTTAGATTCTTATCGCGAAACTTTGGGTTTATATTTCGTATAGTCTCCTTTGCCGGTTCCTGAAGTAGGTCAGTTTGATATCAATAGGTGTATTCCAAGCTTAGAATCGATTAAGAAGCACTGAGTCCAAGTATTACTATAAATAAATTTGCTTTTACCCCATTATTGGTTGCGAAAAGTGAGCGCGTGTTTATTTACGTCCTTGAGGTGATGGAGAACAAAAAATAAAAACGATGAAATGATTATGTTTTAAAAGATGTATCACTGAAACGACTCGAAAAGAGGACTGCTTCATTGAACCTATCAGGAATAGTTTTTTCGACTTCAGGAGGA